AACTACGAATGCTCTAATTTCTCATATCAGATGAGGATACGTAGGCACAAGACGACAATGTCTTGGCGAGCATCCTTTTCCTTTTTCCCGTAGTTACCCAAACTACATTTGCTCTGATTTCTCATACCATGTGAGGATACATAGGCACAAGACGACGATGTCTTGGCGAGCAACCTTCCCCCCATCACCCATAGTTTTCCGAACTACGTTAACTCTGACTTTCCCATTGCACGAGGGAATACATAGGCATAGGACGACGATATTCTATCGAGTCTCCTTTTCTTTTTCCTCCCCCGCTTAGTAGTAGCTTTTAGATAACACACCCTTTGATTAGACAACAAGCATGGATCTCGTTGAGTACAACAGATGTGAGGGGTGTTAATATATTCCCCTTACGTAATCGACTCCCGAGCCCAAGATTTGGTTGCGATGACCTTGTCTTCTCCTTTCTTTTAGGTTTTCTTCGATCGTTTCCTTTCCCTCTCTTTGGGATAAATAAAGTTCGGTGGCAACTCTTCTGTTTGTTTTTGCCGACCTCTTTTTCGCAGTTGCGACATGTAGGAGGATATTTCCACTATACATCATATTTCAAGACAAACAAGTAAACCCTTTTCCAGATAATTGATGTAAGTGGCACACTTGTTGATTCAAAATCCAAGTTGGAGTCCCTCTTTTATCATGGCCAAAGTTATCTTTCATCTAAGTGATGTAAGTGGCAAGCCTCTGGAACACATCCAAGCCAATGTCTTTCTCTTAGCATGCAAAGATTTATAAAGGAACAAGTGGCATTTCTATACACTAAGTTAAAGCTTCTTCCTTCATGAAATTTTAATTCTCTTATAAAAGAAGATGTGGCATTGTTGGATTCCACATATCACATTTAAAGCAACTTCCTTTATAAACGAAACCTTAATAATTGTGATGAATAAGTGAGATATCTCCCTTTAGAGATGACAAATTCTCTCACAAACTCCTTTACCTTCAATCTTGGGCTTTGAACAAAACCCAAAAACTCTTTTAGCTTCAATCTTGAGCTGTGAACAAAATACAAATACTCTTTTAGCTTCAATCTTTGGCTTTGAAGAAGACACCAAACATTTTTCCTCCCATAGAATAGGAGGAACTACGAACGCTCTGATTTCTCTGTTTCCTTTTCTGAGAATACGTAAGCATAAGATTGCGAAGTCTTAACGAGCGCACTAATAAAAAACCTTAGGTCCAGATACCTTTTCAAAAATAATAGAAAATCCTAAAACAACAAAAACATTTTCTCAACCTCCCAAAGGAGAAACTTTCCCCACCTGACAAAAAATAGACTCAAGAAAGCAATTCAAACAGTAAAAACAGATACAATCAAGGTTCATATAGATTACTATAGATACTCTAGGTGTTAATAGTTTCCCTTTGTATAACTAACCTCCGATTCCATATCTCTCTGTATTTATAGGAAAAACACTTGCACGCAGGGTTAGTTTAAGATATATTCCCTTTCCTTTTAAGCTTCATAGAATAAATATAGAAATCAGAAAGTAGCACTAAGAGTAGTAGTGTTCGCGCCACAAAAATCGATTGCAACAATAGCTCTTCCATGGCCTTCCTCTTATTTTTCCCCTTCTTCTTCTTCTTCTTCTTCTTCTTCTTCTTCTTCTTCTTCTTCTTCTTCTTCTTCTTCCTTCTTTCTCTTCTTTCTCTTTTCCTCTTTCTCTCTTCTTTCCTTTCTTTTTCTTGATAACTCTATTTCTTTTTCTCTTATTCTTATCTCTTCTCATCCACATATATTCTTCTTTCATTTCCACTACACAAATATATACAAAATATCTCAATTGATATTTTATCTTCTAGTATCAATTGATCAATTATTAATATTACTAAAATATCCCTTTTTGTACTTACTAATACTAATCAGTCTCTTTTAAAATGTATTGATCTCTTTAGAATCCACTAATTAGTCTATTGATCTCAATTGACAACTTTTAAAATACTTAGAGCATCTCCAACTGTGAATCCATTTTTAGGTTCTTTGTGGGACTTATTAAGTCACGTCAGCTTGAAGCAACTCAATTAGTTTTTCACTCCAATGGTGCAATTCTGAAGAACTCATATTGGGTCCCACAACTTTACTTTATATATTAATATTTTATTCATATTAAATTTTATATTAAATAAATAAATAAGATAAATAAAAATTGATATAAAATAAAATAAATAAAATTCAAATTAAACTTATAATTTAAAATGATAATTAAAATTAATCTCAAATACATGATATATAATTAAAAACAGTAAAAATAAATAACATCACATAATTAATCAAACTTAAATTTCATCATCTTCATGTCCAAAACGTTCCCAAATATATTCGACTAGATCTCCTTGAAGTTTACGATGAACTTGTTTTTCACGAATACTTGCTCTTCTTTGTAGTCTTGTTGTAAGATTCGGATGAGGACCGCTAAATGTTTCAGTTGTTGAGTTATTGATATCCACATTATCATAAGAGTAATCAAAATTACCTCCATATGTATGTCGTTCGTCTTCCACAATCATGTTATGCAATATGATGCAGACATATATGGTATGCTTGAGAGTGTCTATGTGCCAGGCACGCGCTGAGCCGCGTATAATTGCAAATCGAGATTGAAGCACTCCAAATGCTCGCTCCACATCTTTTCTAGCCGATTCTTGATGTTGAGCAAATAATTTTTTCTTTTCTCCCTGTTGCATTGAAATGGTCTTGACAAATGTAGCCCACTCAGGATATATACCATCTGCTAAATAATACCCCATATTATATGGTGTCCCATTGATTGTATATTGCACATTGGGAGCACGTCCTTCCAAAATATCGTTAAACACGTTGGATTGGTTTAGCACATTAATGTCATTGTTTGAACCTGCAATACCAAAAAAGTATGCCAAATCCACAAGTCTTGTGATGCCACTACTTCAAGCATGATTGTGGGCTTACCATGATCACCTCGACAAAATTGTCCTTTCCATGCAACAAGACAATTTTTTCATACCCAATGCATACAATCGATGGAACCCAACATACCTGGAAAGTCACGTGACTCTCTCATTTGTAAAAGATGTTCAACATCAGTGTTGTTAGGCTTTCTCAAATAATCATCCCCAACTACAACATTCACGCCCTTAACAAATCTTTGTAAGTACTCAATTGAAGTGCTTTCACCGATTCGAACATATTCGTCTACAAGGTCAGCAGGAGACCCATATGCCAACATACGAAGATGTACATTTCTGCAATGGTGAAAGACTCATTTTACCAGTTGCATCGACCCTTATTTGGAAATATTCATCATGATTTCCAAGGGCATCTACAATTTGAAGAAATACATGCCTATGCATTCTGAACCTTCTTCGGAATTGAACATCTGTGTATACTGGGTTTTCCGAGAAATAGTCATTGAATAATCAATTGTGCCCTTCTTCACGACCTCGATCTACCGTTGTTCTTCTCTTTGGCTTAGAGGAACTTCCAGATCGACGCTCATTCTGAAGTTGTTGTTCTTCATCACTGTCGTCCATAAATTCTTCTTTAACCAACTTCCAAAATTCTTGATCGTAATTATCTGAATTGTCTGAATCCATTTAATGAGTAAAGAATGAGAGAAAAATGAGAAGAATAAGATGAGAATGAGAGAACAATGACATAAGTGGTAGTATATATAATGGTTTGAATAACGGCTAGTTTAAATTAAAGTACTAGTTTGAATAACGGCTAGTTTAAATTAAAGTGGTTCTAATGACCATTTTACATAGGTGTCGATACATTAAAGTGGTACTAATGATCATTTTATATAAGTGATACTAACTACATTCCATATTTTTTTTCATCTTATTACAATATTTTTCATGAATATCTCGTTGACTATCGTTCATAGGAGAAGTGTCTTTCATCATCATTTGCACTACCGTTAATTCTATCTCGTCCTCCTTAGCTTGTGCAAGTCTTTCCATTGTTATTGCTCTTTTATTCTTTGCATCTTGCGTTGCATTTGGAATTTCCTTTGTCTTACCCTTCCTTTTTGCTACTTTTTGTCCCATTGGACGCTTCATTGGTGATTATGAGTTAAACTCATAACTTGAAGGTGTATCTGAGTTCTCCGATGATGGCTCACTAGCAGAAGTCTTTGTTATTTTTGCCATGACGAGACAATGCGAAGGAATAAGAAAGGAGGTCTAAATAGTACAAGAATTATAACCAAAATGGATGATCCTGAGAAAGAAAAGAGAAGATGCAAAATATGTCGAAAAATTAGTCATATGCGTAGAAAATGTTCAAATGTAGCAGGCTCGTCAAATCGGCCCGTCTAAATTAATTTATTTATTTTTTATATTATTTTAAAAAATATTTTTTAATTTGTAATGTCTATTATATAATTTTTTAATGTTTTAAATCATTAAAAGAGTATTTAATATTTAAAAAACAATTAAACATATATTTTAAAAAGAGTTTTATATTTATAAAAAAAAAACGAGACTTCAAGGGGTCGTCCTTTGGTTGACCGAGCCCCTTCATAGCAAAAAAAAAAACCTTTTCACATATTCGTCTTTTCATTAAACGAATCCCTACTAAATGTGTGGCAGATGCATAAACCAGTTTGGCACATTACATTTCATTTCAGATGGCATTTTGGTAAAAAAATCTCAAATTTGCCAATATTTAAAGTCATTTTTGGAATTGTCAAATATTTAGTCATTCCTTGCAAATTGCTTTCCTTACAATTAAAGGCGAGAAATTGATGTAGTACAGTTCAGCTTTTAGATTGTATTTAAATTTTAGAATAAATCATATGATAAAAAGAATCCATTGCTAAGAAAATTTCATCCAATAACATATTTCTAGAGTCCTCAAAAGGGTTGAAGATGAAATGATGAAATGTTGATTGTTACCAAAAAAATGAAAATCCATAGTTATGTGGACATATGAATAATTATACACCTATTGTCTTAGAGAAACATCAAGAAGTTTTCACTCAATGTCTAGCTGCAACCTGCTCCTTGCACACAGGACAGAAATTTTTGTGTGCAACCCATTTTTGTATACATTCAAAGTGATACATATGATCACACTTCAGCCTTCCAACCTCATCATCTTCTTCAAACTCCTCCTGTACGAAAAACCGAGAATTTTATTCACATGAACTAAAACTAAAATCAGGACCGTCTTTTATGGCGTGCAAGACAGACTACTACACATGGCTCAAAGGCTCAAAATTTGACACGGTTAAACTATAATTAAATACGATTTTATAAAATATTTGTCACAGTTAAATCTTGTTAAAATAGGATCCTATTTGTTTTTTCATGGTTAAACCGTTGGAACATACAGAGCCTCTGAAAACTTAAGACAGCCCTGACTAAAACATTGTACATTTGCGGGGGATAAAAATATATTCAATCTAACTATACATTTTACAAACTACATACCTGACAAATGCTGCATTTTTTGTCTACTTGATGCTTTGACACATCATCGGAAAATCGAAGTTTAGTCTTCCTTATGTGAGGTTCCATCTCATCTTGTTTAAGTCCAGTATTGACATGACCAATTCTCTCACCAAGCTCAAGCAATTGCTATCAAACACAAACTAACAACTTAGACAAACATGAAACGAAGTTGCACGCATATGCGCCGGACATAACAAAGAACTCACCTCATATGACATGTTATCAACATCTAGTCTCAAATCTCTGAAAAGGTCGCACGAATTGTATCGTCCTCCCATTAGTATTCTTCCTTGAAGCACCATTATCTTCAAAGTTCCAACAATAATCAAAATATGCAAATTACTAGCTTTCAACTACAATATTAATATCTTAAAATCATGTTCCTTAAAATTGCAATCAAGATTATGAAGTTCCAATTATATGTCAAAACCATAACATGTTCATACTTTCAGTAGACATTAATTTTATCAAATTTTGTCAGAAAACAAGAGCAAAGTTAAGAACATGATTTGGTATATTCTATTCAACGAAAGCCAAGCCAATACATTCAAGTGCTACACAAAACAATGAGTAACTTGCAGTGATTAACAAGTTATCATTTTACTTAGATTTTAAGAATCAGATTCATTAAAATGATCATCATTCATAATGAAAGAATACACAAGAGTACGAGCAAACCTCAGATAAATCATCAGAAGAGAGATCTCTGATATGGCGAGGGTATGTTGCAGTTCCGAAAGAGCATGCCGTGAAAATGTCAGGATCGGTATCCGGAAAAGAGAAGCTTTCTGGGTAGACAGTAGTGCGCCTTCGGAAAGATGATGAAGGCTGCCAATATAGTCATTATGGTGAAGCAGGATGGTTTAGTACACAATCATGTTAAGGAATATGAAACCAAAATGATGAATAAGTTTAAAATATGGAAGCAAGCACAGATCAAACAAAAATCCAAACTAACCACAAACATGTATCCAAGGTTTTAAAAAACATCATTCAAACACAAAAACAGTCGCGACAAAACAGTATCAGAAGAGACTGATACCGATACTGTTATTCACCGTTTTTATAATAAAGAACAAATTGTTTTTAAGGCCCATACTTACATACATACATATAATAATTTTTCTATATAATCTATCTCATATATATTTAATTGAAATTCATCAATAAATAAACAAGAACAATGGTCACTACTACTAGATTTATTCATACTAGTACATTCTAAATGCATGCAAAAAGATCAATTTGGCAAAACAAAGAGAAACATCATAAATGCAACCTAACCAATATCCATATAAGAACAAAAAAACAGAAACAAGTAACTACCTCTCTATGAGTTATCTTTTCCAAATCAATCTTAGCCCTTGAAGACACATTCTTCTTTGAAACAACACAATCAACAGAAGCAGCAGCATCAATTCCAGGTCCACACCAAACATCTTGAAAATCAACACAAGTAGCAGAAGAACCATCATTACTAATGTTCTTGCTACTCCCTCCTACAACATTCCTCTTATGCTTCTTTTTTCTGGTTTTCTTCTTCCCCTGATGAGTCCAATCTGCAGAAGCCCGAATCACCGCCGGCACCGACACTTGCTGAGAAGCACCGGCAGTACATCCCAAGCCTCTGAAAGTAGCTGCCGCAGATAAAAAGTTAATCTTTTTGCTAGTGGGTTGCGGAGAAACAGCGGTTTCGTTGGAGAATGTGGAGAGAAGAAGAGATGAAATTGTTGAGTTGCAACGAGTGGTTTGGATTTGTTGATCCATTTGTGAAATGGGTTTGTGGTGGTTTTTGATTTGGTTTCTGGGTTTTCTCGATTTCATCCTATGTTGTTGTTCTGTTTTTGTTTGTGTGACAGAAGAAGAAGACATGGTTAGTTGAAGAAGAAGGAATGAGATTGAAATTTTGCAGAGAATAATAATAATAATAATAATAAATTTAGTTTTGAGATTTTAATAATATATTTGTAGGGTTGGTGTCAATAGGTGGGGTTTTGTGTCACAAGATAGAGTGAGGTTGTGCCCTTATGTAAAGGTTTGAAAATTCTTTGCTTTCTCTTTAATCTATGATTTTACTATTTGGATTGTAGTAGAGGGCAAAATAGTTTATACACAATTTTATATTTAAATCAAAGTATTGAAAGTGTGTTGAATATTATTTGTATTATAGAAAGTCAAAACTTGTGTTGTAGTCTAGGTGGATGTTTCACCAAAGTTAATAGTACTTGTTGGATTTTAAAAATGTACCACATGTTTTTGTTTATGTTGTTATTATAATAAATTACCTAGATTTCAAAAATGTCTCATATTAATATAAGCTATTATTAGTACAATCTCCTAATAGTATATTAATAATGACTCATCAATAATCTTTTCTCATACACTCATTAAATTGGACCCTAAAGATTTGGAATATCTAACTTAGTGTATGTATGGTTTTCATAAAAAAAAAAAAAAAATTTAGATGTGTTGAATTGATTTTGGAGAGTTTTTTAACATGTTTGTTTCTTGTAAACTATAATTGAATATGTCAATAATTATTTCATTTTGAAGTTAAGATTTATAATTTTTGAGTTTAAACGTGAATTTTGAATTAAAATTTATGGTTAAATTCAATTTTCATAAAAGTTATTCAAAATAATTATAATGTTTTTAATTTATTTTTAATAAAAATTAACTTTATATAATCAATTTATTAAAATTAATTTTTTTACTGCAGAACCAAACATACACTTAAGAAAAATTTTATGCGGTTTTTACATAAATTTGGACAAAATGTATACAAAATAAGAGAGATCAAACCTAGTCCCCAACAAATAAGTTAACCTCCCTACAAGTCTAGGGTTCTACATCCTCCAACAATGCACTAGCTTCTAAAGATAATTTGTCATGATGTTACATAAGAAAATTAATGGACTTGGCACAAACTCTTTCTGTTTCACAATGAGTGACATATTTGTTAAAAAAAATATTAAAATGAATGACTCATTTCAATTTACAAAACAAATTAATTTTTTTTCAATTTTACCATTTAATTATTATTACTTTCATCACTCCTAATACTTGATAGGTAATTTGGTAAAATCATAATTTTCTCTCTTTTATTTTTATTCTTTTTTTAATATGTATAAATTGATCAACTGAATCACTCATTGTGGGACGATTGGAGTATCATTAATGTTTCAGCAATATAATATCTAATGCATATTTTATATGGAAAAACATTACTACAAATAATATATTTCATGACAAAGTTTTTACCTCACCTAACCAAAAACCGAAGTAAAATGTCAATGTGCGCCATGATTTATTTTATTTTGTTTAATAAATACCATATATTCACTCTGATTCTAAATATAACCGAGGAAAAAATAATTCAAGACATCTTTCAAATCCCAGCAACATCAGTTTATGTTTTTATTTCTTTAAAAATTATGTCTTTCTTTTTATTTTTTATTTTTTTTAATTAATGATTTATTCCTTCGGTTATATTTATTAACCGAGGGGTTAGATTATCATATTTTACTATAGAAACAATCGTTAATCAAATTTTACCATAAACCTAACTTATATGTAGTCGCTTCAAAATCTTATGCATCACTCTTTGGGATGAATTGCAAGACAGGAAAAAATCCTCAATGTTCTTTAACAAAACATTTTTTGCCCTTACAATTTATCTCAAATAATGATGTTGGCGTTCTTGTTGTATTTTGGTAATAATCTTTCTATGTTGTCAATCAAAACAAACATTGAGAAATTTAATGTTTTCCTCACTTGACAACATTGAGAAATTTATTCCTAAACACAATCATCAATTTCTCTTTCATGTTCTCTTTTATGTGAAAAAATTTGTCATAAAAATATTTGTTCAAGATAATTAAATCTCTTTGGGGTGGATTGCAAGTACAGAAAAAATCATCTTAGTCACTAACATAAATTGGGACAAAATGTGTACAAAATAAGTGAGTTCAGGCCTAGTCACTAACAAATTAATTAACCTCCATATTAGTCTTTTATAGGGTTTTGGATCCTCCAACAATACGCTAACTTCCAAGAATAATTTATGATGTTGTTCCATAGAAAAATCGGCGGGCTTAGTGTTAAGAAATTGTGGTTGGGCCTAACTCAACCCTACAAAACCGGTTTATAAGGTATGGATTACCTCCACTTATAAAGACATATTCATGCCATATATTATTTGATGTGGGACTCTTAACACACCCCCTCACGCTCAGGACTAGACAACTGGAGCGTGGAAATAAATGGTGGGTGACCCGATAGTGGAAACCATAAAAGGTGGTCCGCCGAATCTTAAACGAGGCTCTTAATACCATGTTAAGAAATTGTGGTTGGGTCAACCTCAACCCTACAAAACTGGTTGGTAAGGTGATGATTGCCCCCACTTATAAAAACATGTTCATGCCATGTATTATCCGATATGAAACTCTTAACACTTAGCATATAACACCCATGCTTCATTAATAATATCTAACACATATTTTCTCTAGCAAAGATATATCTCCCTCAGGATTGCAAGTTACTCATAACCCAAAAAAATATTTCCAAACCCTCAAATCCTTTATATTAAAGTATTATTTAAATAAGTTTTATAAAAAAAAGTAGGGTCGTAATATCATTTCTTACAATGGTTATATTTTCCACGAACACTAACACATTAATTTGTATTTTTCCTAATTGCAATGTGAAAAGATAACAGTTTGAATAAGATTGAACAAATCCATATCGCTTCTTTGTAGTTACTAGTTTAGTAAACTAACATCGTGGACTTTGTTTTAAGTCATATAGTGACTTTTTCAACTTGCAAACCTAAATTTTTTTAGTACTTTTAAAACTTGGAGGTATTTTAATGTAGACTTCTCATCCAAGTCACAATGAAGGAATGCATTGTGCAAAATATATTAGATACTAGAAGGAATTTGATGCATTGTGCAAAATATACTAGATACTAAATACTAGATACTATGAGAAATTTGATGTCTAGAAGAAAATTATTCAAAAGATACTAGATAATTAATAGGGTAAGGAATACCTAAGGCGTGGTGTTGGGCCGATGAACTTTCAAAGGAATTTACTTTTAGAGTTACATAATCCTTATATTTTTTTCAAAGAAATTTTATTTCTTATTCCTCTTCCTAACATTTCTACAACAATATTATTTTCTCCCCTTGAGGCAACCACCCTAGGCTTTCTTGGATCCACATTGTCCTCTTAAACATCTACAACATCACATGCCATCATTGTGTAGGTGGGGTGCCTCGTGAGCTACATCGACAACCATATCAATCACATTATTTACTGCCACAATAACCTTATCACTCATACAATCACCACACCCCCTTGCAGCTGCTCATCTCCTTGCAGAGGCATTGATATACCCTTTTTTTCTTTTGGTCTGTCATAACTAACAAAAGGGTCACATGTATGTTATCTAGTTGCACATCAAAAGAGGATTCATTTTCATTAAATTTTACATCTATAGAAACAAATTTTTATTATCATTCCAAATCATACAAGTTCCATCCTTTTTTTACCATATGAGTATCCCATGAATATGCATTTTTGACTTCTACTTGCAAACTTATCTACGCCGCATCGTTGATTATAAGCGTAGTATAACCAACCAAAAAATTTCATGTTTTCAAATTTAGGGTTTTTTCAAATAATATCTTATCAAGTTTCATATAATTAAGCACATTATATGATGTTAGATTATTTAGTAGGGAGTTTCCAACACACATTCTCCCCAATATTGTATTGGTAAATGACCCTGAATCTGTGTGTGTGTGTGTGTGTGTGTGTGTGTGTGTGTGTGTTTGCCGTATTCATGATATGTTGGTGCTCTTGTTCTACTCTTCTGTTTTATTGGAGAGTATCAACACATGTCTCAAACAATATTTTTTTTAAATAATCACATGGAAAATTAAACTCGGTGTCATTCTCACTTTGTACCTTATTTATTTTCTTATCAAATTATCGATTAAACAATGCAACAAAGTTCATAAACATAGGCTCGATCTTAATTTTCTTACATAAAAAATAAACCCAGATTGCATGCAAAAGATCTTCTATAACAGTTAAATAATATGCTACATGAAAGAATGTGATAGGAGACCCATAAATTAATATGAACCACTTCAAAAAAAAAACTACTAGCATTATTATCACTTAAAATAAAGTTTTATATATGTTGCTTAGCATGTGGACATAAATTATGCACTCTTTTATTTTGTTTCTACTAAATTGACTCACATTGAATGAAATTCAACACCTTGTTGGACGGATGACCCAAACATTTATGACACAAATCCATTGAAGAATCACATGCCAATGACTCACATTAGTAAAGTCAGTCAGCCCATTCACCCACTCCAATCAACTTTTGCATCGTCTGGTCATGTATTACACAGAATGCATTAGTAATTTGAACGATGCAATATGAGTCATCAAATAATTGTGTTAAAAAAAATTAAGTTTCATGTTAATTTAGGCATAAAAATAACATTATTAAGTTGCAAACCACCTTCCAAAATCGCATTGCCTTTTCTATTAGCATCAAATTTTTTTTAGTCTCGCAATCCCATAGGAAAATTCTATATATTTTTCACATTCATCATAACATTTAAATTTCCTATTACATGGTTTAAGATTCTTGTGTCAATTGTCCAAGAATTGTTGTTTTACCATGAAGATGTTTGTTAAAGTTCAAACTATTAAGAGCATCGAGAATATTTTGCCATTGTGTCATGGTGATTCGTAGTATATATGTTGAATCACTTATTTTAGGTGGAACATGAAGATAAACACCCTTATGAGCATGATTACTAGTATTAGTTTTTTTCCTTTTTAGTGCG